GGGGGGGGGGGGGGGGGGGGGGGGGGGGGGGGGGGGGGGTCACTCACGGGCAGTGGGCTGCGTCCAGGTCCACGCAGATGCTGGGCACACGGCTGCTGCATTGCTGGTGGAATTTGTAGCCGCACGTCTGGCAGCGGAAGCCGTGGAACAGGAACTTGAGGCAGAAGTCGCAGAAGGCCAGGCTGAAAAACGTCTTACGGACCTGGGGGGACAGACGGAGAAATGGGGGGGTGAGGAGTGACAGACACCATCCAGGGAACAGCCACCACGGGGATTTATTGTAGGGTCTCTCGGGGGCCAGGGTGTTATTGTTGGGTCTCTCGGGGGCCGGTGTGTTATTGTAGGGTCTCTTGGGACTCACAAAGTTGTGCATGGTGAGTGGCACCTCGTCCAGCACCTCCACGTAGAGAACCTGCCCCTCCAGCGGGGTGATGTCCGTGTCCCAGTCGGTCAGCAGCTTCGTCCTGACAGAGAGACGGGTCAGAACCGGAACCAGCCCCGGGCTCCCCTCACTCCCGGCCCGCAGCCCCCAGCCCTGCCGGTGCCCCTCACTCCCGACCCGCAGCCCTGCCGGTGCCCCTCACTCCCGACCCGCAGCCCCGCTCACCCGCCCAGGCGCCGGTACACCGCGCAGCAGTTCTGGTTCAGCCCTCGCACCTTCAGCGCTTTGTCCAGGGCATCGTAGACAGTGGCTCCCGGCCGCACGTTGACCTGACGTGGGGGAGGGGTTACACACGGTTCCTGCCTCCCCAGGGCACTGGTGAACTCAGCTCCCCTCCCCCTGCACAGACTGCAATGGACCCCCCCACATAGCCAGGTAGATGCCCACACTCGTGCAAGGGCACGGCTGGAGCGGGGAATGCCCCTCACCCCCGGGGAGCCGTGCAACAAGACACACACGTGTGCAATTGCACGGATGGTGCTCACGCTCCCCTGCATGCCCAGGGAGCCGTGCAATGAGCCGTGTGCGTGTGCAATGACACTAACTGTGCTCATATCCCCTGCACACCCAATACATACCGAGGGAGCCGTGCAAGAAGACCCGTGCCTATGCAATTGCACGGACCGTGCTCACGCTCCCTGGCACACCACAGGTGTGCTCTGTGAGCCACGCGCGTGTGCAGTTGCATGGTCTGTGCTCACACTCCCTGCACGCCTAGGGAGCCGTGCAAAGCGCTGGAGGCTGGGGAGGAGAGACATAAGAACGGCCAGACTGGGTCAGAGCAAAGGTCCATCTAGCCCAGTATCCTGCCTGCCGACAGTGGCCAA